GGGGGGGGGGAGTGTTTTCCTGAGGGAAAAGAACACTTACACATAGGGGACCTCAGACCACTTTTCTTCCTGTTTACAAAAAGTGTCTGATTAAAAAATGGTGTCATAATTAAGGGTACCCCCTGGGGGCCATTGTTCACCAGGGGAGAGTTGATACTGAGGCCAGGCCTGGGTACAGAAGGAAACCATACATTCTTTTTTCAGAGTCTGGGGATCAAACATGTCTAAGGTGACCAGATTTTAACACTGGTAAAGCGGGACACCATTGATGGGGGGGGGACCTGACAACAATGCAAACTTTGATAAGCAGTTCTCGATAATCACTTCTCAACAATTATTTGTTATTAGTACAGTTTAACATTATAAAATTAATAAAAATAATATAAAACTCATATCCTGGCGAAATTGCCGCATGGCAGCCAAAAACTGTATATTCCCTTACTGTTTTCCTGGCTGTTCGTGCATTCTTTCCAAAAATCAGGACTTTTTAAAAAAGCTGTGGGACATGGGACAAATTATTAAAAAGCGGGACGTCTGGTCACCCTAAACATGTCCTGGTGCTCCAGAATACAGCCCAGCGAGGTGTTCCCTTGACGAGAGAATGTATTACCCATCTGTGAGAAAAAACAAATGCCCAGCGTCTTAATCCCACCCCCTATTCCTGAGTTGCCCAGAGCGTCCTCTGACCAACTCCCAAATCCTTCCAACCAAACAAAAGGAAGCGTCCCTCCAATGTTTGGGGAAGAAGCCCTGTGGAGAGTGGCCTCCTCAGCCCCTGCGCTTGTCTGGAATTAGCCCCTCTTACCAGTGTAGCGCTTAGTACCCACTGGGTCTCCTGTGCTTATATCCTGCCAGCAGCACAGCTCTGAGAAATCAGGTCCAGGGAGCCTTGGTCCCACCCCACGCATGTATTCTGCCCCTTTCCGCCCCTTCCCCCCACTAGCCTCAGAGTATCAATCAAAGCGGGGATAAGCCCCGTCCTGGAGAAAATGGCTGTGCGATGTTTGTACATTTAACTCTATAGAATCTGTGCAAGCTTTTTCTAAATTCCCCGTAGCAAAAAGGAAAGTAGGCTTTCTGGCACGAGCAAGTCCTAGTGTTAAATGCTATGTTTTCTAACTTTTCTTTCTTTCTCAAAA